AAAAATTCAATCTACTTTAAGAAACTGAAATTTTGATTCTTAATGTTTGGCAATCGACGTGAGATTATACATAGAACACAGAACAGAGATTCCGATAAGACTGGAGTCAAAATTGGAATCGATTTGTTAGACAACCTAGTTAGTTTCACATTGTTTCGAGCGTCTCGATTCACAAGAGGCTTTTAAAAATTTCGTTGCCTCCTTTGATTAGAAAGGACACGACCTTTGAGGCGTTCAATTCACTAATTATAGTATTTTAGGTGTACTTTTGATCCGTGCAAAATTTAAAAAAAAAAGGAATATTTTTTCAGAGAAATGACATCCAATTCTTATATATATATATGTACGAACATATAGAAACGTTTCTGTTTGAATTCACGAATTTGATCACTATCGTGAGACAGGTTAGGTTTACTTTGCTAATGACTACCCGTTGCGATAATACGATTGACACACTATCAATCGAGTACGCGGTAGTATTTTAGGTGTACTTCCGATCTGTGCAAAATTTTTTACAAAAGAAATATTTCTTTCAGAAGAATAACATTTACGTTCCACATTAAACACTCTGTATACAAACATATAGAAACGTTTCTGTCAAGTCGATTGTTTGAATTCACGAATTTGATCGCTGTTGTAAAATAGGTTAGGTTTACTTTACTGACGATTATTGTGTGACAGGTTAATTTTACCTTACTAATGCGATGGCAATCCTGCCCAGTCATTGACACACTAATTGAGTGCGTGATAGGATTTTAGGTGTACTTTCGATCGGTGAAAAATTTTTTTCACAGAAATGCCGTCCACGTTCTTGTCCCAGCACATTGTAGAAAGTTCGCCCGAAGATTGGCCAAGCAATCGTGAAACAGCACTGACGGGGACAATTGATAGTTCGGTTAGCCAGGTCTCGTCGTACTGTTGTCCACGACACGTACAGCTGTACGAGACAAATTCCCGCACGCGTTGCCCCTCGCTGCGCGAGGTGATATTTCAACGGGCGACTGATCGCACGTCAGCGACAGGCCTTTCTACGCCAGTGAAACGATGCTTCCCGAAGAAAACGATATTCGCCGATTCGACGACACTGGTCTCAAGGGCCAATAAACGACGACAGTTTACCCGTGCTTACAAACAAATGTGTATATATCAGGGATGGGCAAATACTGCTCTCAGAGCCGCGTGCGGCTCTTAGTTGAGTTAAGTGCTCCCAATGAAAAATTTACACCCGTTCTTTTTTTTTTATTATTTCAGAACTTTTCTCACCGAATCTTGTTAAACTGACTATGTAACTAATATTAGTGACATTTCTACTAATGATAGTAGAATATGTAACCATGTTCATTTCAAGTAAATTTGAGTTTGTGTACTATGGCTGTTTATAATATATGAAAAACCGGAATGCGGCTCTCACTGACCTCATGCGTGCCCACCTAATGATATATATATATATATAACTGTCATCGAGTGTAAAGTGAAGCCTAAATATAAGGATTCGAGGTTAGAAACGCGACTGAATTGTAAGTACATACTACTTGAAGAACGATTTAACTTTTGATATAACTTACAGTTGCATTTACAGCAGTTTTTGATGAAATAAAATTACTTTGCCGTCTCGTTGAACGATTTTGTAGTAGATATAGATTTTACAGTAGATATTTTATTCGAGCAGATATTATTATTTTAGAAATAAAACTACTCCATATCCTCGTTAAATATGTGTAAATGATTTTATAGTAGACACAGATAGTCCAGATTTCGTAGTAGATATAGAGCTACATATAGTGTTCCGTCTGAATCGACTGTGGATCGATCGGAGAGAAAATGGCTCGAATCGACGACGCGCGAGAACACGAAGAACCACGCGAATAATTTCGGGGAATTAACTATTCGGCGATTCTTCGGAATCGGGAAAGGACGAGCGTTTCTCGCGCGTCGAACTCTACTCTACGTCGAGAACTTGGAGGCGGGCCTCGGTTAGCCTTAGATCGTACGTACGTACGATCGCTGCGCGATAATTGCACGAATTTGAACGTGAATCAAACGCGAATTGTACAAAGTTCTGTTTGCACGCGGCGGTGATTCGCAAACGAATTAGCGGTGCCTCCCTCGCGAGAATCGAAACTCGCGTAGGTTGCAAACAGCAGCAGCCTCCCCCCTCGTTCCCTCAGCCCGGTTCAGAAAAGGTGACACGGCGGCGCGGGGAAGTTTCAAGGTCGTTTGGAAGTCGCACGAGCACGTTTAAAAATTTGAAAGCCGAGAAGGGAGAGAAAGATGAATAATTCGGCTATCACTCGATTACACCGTGTTCCACTTTGTCCCACGTTACCCCGATTCCCGATAAAATATACGTACGATATCGATCTTTTGCTAACAATGAGCGCAGTGTCGATCTGTTTTTCGAAAATAGATCGGTAGTCGGTGAAAATAAATAAAAAAGACTGAAGCGTCGAGGAGACGATCTAGACTGTGCTTAGACTTATCAACGACGCTGAACGTTTTGAATTTTATATGAAATTTACGTTGACGTTTGCCGAGAAGTTATGTCTCCTTGGTGACGACAATTTTCTTTTTTTCATCGCAACTTATTAACGCACAAAACTGTTCGTTCTTTTTTCTTCTTTTTATTCTTGGCATGTCTGAATATAAAAATTGAATTGGAAGTGATATTAAGCAATCTATTTTTCTTATTATACGCCAAAGGAAATTCCGAGAATTCTATTAAATGTTTTTACAGTGTGTTCCCGGGTTAAATCGCCAAGCTTTAGAGGTCAATCTAGGATCGTAAAACGAACAATTTTCTCTCGTACAAGTATGCTCGTAAATGCTTTCTTCAAGAGATATTTACCACTAAAGTTGCTTAAAGGACTTAGTAATATATGTCGTCGAAATAATTCAGGTTTATTATGTATGTTATTAAAAAAAATTGTTGTGTTTCTTACTAGAAATAATTGTAATTATTACATATGTTGCTTAAAATAATTACCTTCAGCTTGCAAACAAGCATTAATCACAGGAACACAGTTATATCAACGTTATCCATTCCCAACTTAATAACTTTAGAGGTAAATATCTCTTGAAGGAAGCATTTGCGAGCATATCTTCCAGAGGAAAAATTTGTTTGTTTTAGAAGCCTAAATTCATACCTAAAGTTTGGCGCTTTAACTCGAGAACAGTATAATAATTCAATTCCTATATAAATAATTCAATTGATTGTATGTTATATAAGCTCTGTAAATTAACATTTGACAGAAATCCAGCTTAAATTTCGTTCTTATATATCTGTTTCCTCTTTAACGCTATTTTCTGACCTAACTTCTTTTGCAGAAATCATAAAACACAATTACTTTCTGTCAAACCACCAGATGGTTCGATTAGACAGACAATAATGTGTTGCATAGCTCTCTCTCTCTCTGGAGAAAGTTAATAGTATTTTACGCAGAGTATTTTTTATGTATAATTATAAATAAAGATATTTACAGTAAAGAGCATAACTGCGCGTACCAATGAGAATTGCAGAAAAATTGTCGATAATTTAAATTTAAATTACTTTCCATTGTCGCTTACTGCCCTATATAAATTATAGAGATCTCCAAGATTGACCACTGTTACTCCATACTCTAATTCCTACGCCTGCCAGAAGAAAAGAAAAATGAAAGTATTTCGCAAACATTCGCAAAGGAGACTGAAGAAAATAAAGAAAAAGCTCTTGTCATATTTTTTTTTTTTTTTGTTCAACACTCAACGTGGCAGTTAGCTGATGTCGAGTCGAAGATTCGACTCCGAGATTTCTCAAATCGCGGTTTACGTAACGAGTCGAGGGTGGAAGAGGATTCGAGCTGGTTCAACGAGCGACACCGGCAGCGCATTTGAAATTCAAATGAGGAGAGTTAAGGGACAGCGTGTCGCGGGACACGCGGAAAACAATTTTCCGAGACGTTACGCAACGTTTAATGGCGACGGCGGGAGTCAGCCTCCTAAATTTTCGAACGAACTGGCGCTGGATTCGCAGCGACCCATCCTCCTAGGGACACGTATCCTCCGGCAGTTACGTAAGCGCAGGCCGCCTTCATCGATTTCGAACAAAAAGAAATTACCACCGCGCTCCGGCGGACACTGATTTTTCACCTTCCCGGGCTTCACCTTGTCGCCCCTTTCCATTTCCGGAAGATGGTTTCTGGCACCTCGCTCACTCGGACAAATGCCGCCGAAATTTTCATCGATCCCGGACAGAATTCGCCTGGCAAGCGAAATTTTACGAATCCACAGTTGATCAGAGTTGAGACGTTGAATTTTAAATGTGGGAAGTTTGACAATTAAGCCCTGTTCGACTTTTGAAATCTTACACGATTTGAGTGATCACAATCGACGTAAGAGATATTTAAATTGTTTGTACGAGAAGACTAATTTGTTAAATAATTAATAAATATATATATATACTATTGTAACAGATAAGTGTTTTGAATGTAGAATTTAAATTGAGTTATAGTAAGTTACAATAAATTATAATTATAACATATTCAATGTGTTCAAATCGACGTAAGTCAGATTGATTGTTAAAACATTATTTCATACGAAAGGAAAAATTAATAAATATCTTGTGCAAAATTATTTCAAATTATTAAATTGAATTGTGTAAAATAATAAGTGTCGATTTTTAATTTTATTTTATTAATATCAATGGTAATATCCAAGAGCTTTTGCTTCATTAACTTTGAACGAAAGACTTCAAGATCGTACGTACAATATCGAAAAAGTCCAAATAAATTAATATTTGAAGGATTGGCTAAACAAGAGTGCGTAGACTCTGGTTTCTCACCTTCGCGACCTTTGCGGGGCAATACTCAGAAATCCCGCCGGAATTTGGGATCGCTGCGGCGAATTTCGATCGAACGTGACAACAGGATTCACCTTCGCGAAATTCCGAGGTTTCTCTGCAGAAGGTAACAAAGCTTCGGCACCTTCGAAGCGACAGTATCCAACTGTCCGTTGACAAGTTTTTT